CTCATGCTGAAAATATTTAACAAAAATAAAAACTCATTGTTCTAGCTTCACAGCATGCATGGCTATCTTGAAACCCCTCTGTCCATTGATCTTGAAGACAGAGATATAAATTAGAATGGCAATTCAAAATAACAAATACAGCGACCGTAGACAAATAATGATACTCTACAATTTGGAGCTCTTTTTATTGTTGTAATAACAATATATAGTAAAAAGTAATAGCTTGGTTCTGAAAACTGGCGAGCGCTAAAAGAGAATGTCCAAAACTTCGAGGAAAAAATAAATATAAAATTGGTCAACAGTTTATTTGCTTTAGCATGAAATGTATCCGTGTTATACACAGGGCAATAACACATGTTGATTGGAAGTTTCCAAGCAAACATGCGCATCACCAAGTTGATTAGCATGCGCACCATCACAAAATTGTGAGATTGCCTCACTACTTTTCTTCAGTTCACACTGAGAGCATAGAAACCATATGTAAATAAATATTGAGGTTATCTTCAAAGGTTGGTGTATTCAGATGAACCTGTCACCCGGAAAGTGTAATTCCGTCGACCGAATAGAAAAGACATCGAGGAAATGTTCGATAACCGATATCGAACGTACCGATTGAAAAACGCCAAAAGGCAATACTGAATCAAAATCACACTTATTTGGGTGAGGCTTCTAACTCGTCAACTTCATCATAGTTATGTCAAGTTGCCAAGGTCAAGTAACTAAAGCGCAAAAAAAGAAGAAGACTGAGAAACAGAAAAGAAAGGACTAACTTGAAAAATCAACACAATGAACGACAGTCAAGATGGCGGTTGCGCAAATGAAATAAATCAGTTAATTATTCCAGCTCAGCGTTTAGTAATGTCTATTATGTACTCTGGTGCAGCATTGATAACAACAGTTTTGAATTTTCTGCTCCTGATCTCCATCTGGAAGACACCATCCCTTCACAAACCTTCCTACATCCTGATAGGAAACCTTGCTCTTTCTGATCTCTTGGTCGGTGCCATTGGAGAACCACTGATGGTCATTTATAATATCGCTGCCCTAAAAAGCTGGTCCTTGAA